CCTTCTCCACTGCAAGGGTACACTGCTGATACACCCCTAGATCCCTTTTTTTATAAAGTTGCTTTATAACCTGTCAGCCCTCAGCCAGTTATCAGATGGGATAATATAGAGTTATCCTATCCCAGATGCAGGATTTCCAACTTTGCTTTCTTCGAGCTTCATGAGGCTCCTGTCTGCCCGTTTCTCTAGGCTGCCCAGGGCCCTCTAAATAGCAGCCTTGCCCTCCAGAATATCAGCCACTTACTCTGATCTGGTATTCTTTGTGAACTTGCCAAGAGCACTCACCTTAACAACCAGGTTTTTAATAAAGACATTAAGCAACACTGGCCTCAGGATGAACCGCTGAGGGATGTCCCTAAACTAGTAACTGTTCACCAGTCAGACTTCGAGCCCAGCAGTCCAGGCAATTATCTACCTACCTTATCAGCCCACTTATCCAGTCCTTATCTTAACAATATAAGAACAGTACAGCAGAGTGTGTCAACGGCCTTACTAAAGTCAAAGTGACATCCACCGTTCTCCCCTTGTCCACAGAGCCAGTCATCAAATCATAAAAGGTAAATAATGTTAATTATAGGCACAATTTGCCCTTAGCAAATCTGTGCTGGCTGTTCCAAATCACCACCTTCTCTTTTCTGTGCTCAGAAAGGGCTTCCAGAAAGATTTCCTCCATAATCTTCCCATGGACCAAGTTCAGCAATCACCCTTGCCCTTCTAATGCCTCAGTGGTTTCAGCTCCAGCTGAGCTTTGGTCTAACTCCAAACCTGCATACTCTGGCAACATCTCTGTATTCCTCCTGGGTAGCCCCATCACTACCTCCCACCTTCTGTGTACTTTCTTTTTGCATTTAGCTTAGTCATAAATTCTTTGTTCTTCTGTGCTGGTCTTTTGCCATGCTTGCTCCTCTTTCTGCATGTTGGAAGGGACTGTTCTTGTGCTTTGAAGAGGTTGTCCTTGAAGATCAACCAGCTCTCTTGGGCCTCTTTGCCCTCAGGGCAGTCTCTCATGGGATCCTGCCAAGCAGATCCCTGAAAAAGCAGAAAATCTTCTTTCCTGAAGTCCACAGTTGAAATTCTACTATTTGCCTTGCTCACTTCTCTCAGGATTTGAAACACAAGGCTGCCCTCAATCTTCATATGCCAAGATACAGACAAAAATTCTACACTGACTGCTTCTGCCCTACAGCTTAATCATTTATACCTGAAAGAAGTTAGTAAGAAAAGAAAAAATAAAATACCACGACTGCAAAATTCTGATTCGATCAGACTTTTGTATCTGCTTTGCATGGATGCAACTCAGTGCAGTGGAAAACATGAAACACTGATCAGGAATTCAAACTAATCACCACTAGGTGGCACCAGCCAATACCAAATCGAATGCTAAAAAGACAAATAAGGATAAAAAGTTTCAACTCCAAAATTTCATCACACACATAAGGCTGCAGCACTGAAAATTGTTTTAATCAACTATTTCTTCATTTGGTTCCTTATTTTGATCTGCATAGAGTCTTCACTAAAAAAAAAAAAAAAACCAAAAACAAACAAAAAAACAAACCTCTTTGTTCCTAGCAAAAGTAAACTAACTCACAGTTTGGGGAATGTAAAAAATAACATGCTCTGCAATACTAACAATAGCATATTTCTAACATACTATTACAAAATGCACCAGTTTTAGGATAAAGACAATACAACTTAAAAAAGAAATCTTAAATTTGCACAAACAAGTCAAATAAAAATTGAAAAAAGAAGAATGCAACTATGCTTTTCATACTGGAAAGAATTCCTCTAAATCTTGTCACTAATCCTACACAGAAAGAGATGCCATACAGATTCAAAAAGGAAATGCCAAGATCATCTGCTTATTAGTAGACTGCATCTACACTAATCCTACCCCAAATTACATTCTCATGCCTCAACTTAATCAGTAATCTCCATTTTGTTTCTGAAGCAAGTTCATAAGAAAACTAGATTTCAAAATAAATATTTGATAGATCACTAACCTTTACAATGGATTAGTGAAATTTTGCTTTTTTAAAGCTGCAAAGAGATTTGAAAATGGTTAGTAGCTGTGGAGGCTGCATTTTCTGGGGGAGTTTTTTTTAATTTGAGGGGTTTTGTTTTGCTTTGGGTTTTTTTAGGATTTGGATTTTTGGAGTTGTGTCTTTTTTGTTTGATTTTGTTTTAACAATTTTACCACAACAGTTTTCATTTCATTTTTACTAATCCTTACCAACTGTGGAGCTGTCTTCAAGTACTACATCCACATTTCTGTCTCTGTACTCAACCCTGAAGTCAAGCATTCGAGGTTGTCTTTCCACTATTTGTCTAGATGGCACTACATGGCGAAACGCTGAGGATGAGGAAGGAGTTGAAGAAGCTGCTGTAGAATGACTTGTGGGGCCATACGCTGGTCCATGTAAAGTCTCTCCACCGTACTCACTGAAAGATATGCACATAAGAAGGTTTAAACAGAACAGCTTGATATGTTTAAATAAGAGTTAGCAAAATGAACAGTATTATTCATCTACTGTGGTCCACAGCACACACCTCTTGAATAAACTACACTATCACATCTGAAAATACTATTTTATTAATAATTAGAAAACAGCTTTCACATCAGCAATATTAACATTTCAGTGACTCAGAAGTGCTATAGGAGAACAGCTTAGATGACAAACAGGCACTTAAGCCATTATTTCAGTCTCAAGTTCACTATGTAACTAACACCAGAATTATCCTGAGAAGAAGCATTATCTCCAGTTCCAGGAGTGTTGAGACCATATAAAAATTGGCACCATGGCAACCACCAGCTTTTTACATCATTGGGCTAGTATCACATGGAAATGAGAATAAGAAATAAAGCTTAAAATACTGCACGTGTATTGGTATTTTCCAATACCAATTAGTGGAAAACAAGTCAGATATGAAAATAGTTATGTACTTAAGGTAAATAAATTAAGATAATGAGGTATATATTGCAAAAAAATACCTAGAAGTATAACAGTAATGCAATGCTAAATTCGAGCTTGTCTTTAAGTTCAAAATCCTTCAAGCCTCTTGGACATTCATATACAGATGTCTCCATACCTGGCTCAAGGATACATACAGCATTACAGGTCAGAATAAATTGGGAAACCCTCACTACCCAGAAGCACTTCATCTTCCTCAGTGAGCCTCTCCACAAGAAGCATGTAACTGGGATTAGAAACAAAGGTAACAAAACATGAAATTTAAGGAACGTTACTCCAGGCCAAAAAAAAAAAAAACTATGATGTACAGAAATTAAATTTGGAAGGCAAGAAACTTCACAGGGCAAGCCTAGAGCTTTGCCTTGTAGATGTTCTTATCAGGAAGATTATCTGTCCTGGGCAGCTACAGGATATCATGAAGGAAGATGCAAGCTAATAAAATGTATGCACTGAAAGAATGGAAGCCGAGCAAAGAAGGATTTAGGAAATGCTGAGATGTAAGTTGTCTCATTTCCATTCTTAAGCAGAACTTATTTGAAAACTGCATTCTGCCCTTCTTTAAGATACCATGAGATCTGTCAACGGAAACGTTTCTTATAGCAAGTCAAATCGGTCATCTAGAGGAGGCCTGAACTTATAAAAGCATAAATATGGATGGCATGCATGTCACAGAAGTGCCGAAGTTATACAGAGCTATTGCAAATCCCATCATTGTGCCTTCCACGTTTGAAAAAGAAAAATGTGTTATGCTTATAAAACAAGGGGCTCCTTCACTTCTCACATCAGCAGGCTCAGAAGGATGAATTCCCAGCTACAAAGACCCACACTCAAAGACCCATGCTTAAAGGTCAAAGACCCACTTCAGAGGTCTAAAGAGTATAGGAAACAGTCTTATTTTCAGGATTTAAAAAAGTATAAATACCAAGTGATATGTTATTGTCTTAAATCTGATGGCCAACTATGAATTAAGTACTATAACCATTTTGTTAACAGACCCAAGAAGCAATGAATATCCTGATTCTCAGGACTGGATTTTTTTTTTTAATTTTTTTTTTTTAAACAACACAAGTGAATTATAAAACAAAATGTATTTTTTTCCCTTCAATAAATTAACTTACTTCAAGTCCAGTGGTATTAATTCTATTTGATTCCACCACAAAAGGCATCCTACATATCTGACTGGCAACCTCTAATGGAACATAAAAAGCCCCACATCAGTGAAATAAGCCTCATCTGAAAACCACTGGAAACTAGGCTTCTATGTCTTCTGAGCCTCCTTTTAAACCACTTCCATTGGAAGAAAAAAAAAGGAAAAAAAAGATTTGAGACACATTTGACTATCTAATCATTTCTAAAAATAAATAAATTAGTGTGGAAGAAAGCTGTAAGTGGACACTGGACCAGCTTGTTATCCAAGTCAGGCATAACTACTCCCCAGCTCTTTCCCCCTGACCAAATAGTTCCAAACCATTCTGGTATTTTGAATATAAATGCTTTGAGGTCAGGACTTATTAACATACGTATAAAGAGTGTTCAACACAACCGAGACCTGATCTCAAATGGACTAGGTAGGCCTTATGGTAAATAAACGTCTAGTAATTTTACTGAGCAAATAAGGTTTTATCCTGAATCAAAAACTGACTCTAATGATAGCTTTAGTAAGTATTGACAGAGATGCCAAAACACCACTTTACCTACATTATGTAACTTTTTTCATTATTAAAAGAAACTTTTTAAAATAGTACATTGAGTATTTTTCTAAACAAAATTTTAAACACTATTTTACTGTCTCTCTCAAGTAGCTCAATTTCTGTTCTGCTGTTTTCAATTGCCTCATCAGCACTTAGGAGCTCATGCTTCAGTGACTTCAAGATATCCAGGCATCAGTATACAAGCCAAAATTTAATTCAGAAGCTGAAAGAAAATCAGTAAAGCTACTTTTAGAAGGGAGCAACCTTACTTTATCTAACACAGTATCTGCTGCCTGTAATTCGATTAAAAAAAAAAAAAGCCTACAAAAATACAAACATTTTTGGCCGGGGACAGGGAAGCATGGAATATCAATACCTTTAAAAATGCGTAAGGAAAAAGAAAATACTTAGCCAGGAACATCTGTGGATTCACCTTGCAAATTTTTAGATCTTTGGGAAAAAAAAAACCACAAACCAAAAAAAAACCCCCCAAAAAACCCCACACAATCAACCCAAGTCCTGACATCCAAGACAGCATACCAAAACCCAGACTTAGTGAAGAGACAACCCTGCACAGAATGACCCAACAACCAATGAATTCAAAATAAAAATTAACTAATTTGAATAGGTGTTTGAGCTGGTCCTCCATCAGTATGGGAAAAATTGAACATTAAATCAGCTTTGCCAGGAATAGAATTTGTGGCTCCAGAAACTGCTTTAAAAGGATAATTACATCGTCTTCTTAGGATTCAGGAACAAAAAATGTAACTATTACCCAGCATCATTCTCTGTGTGTACTACTCCAGTCTTCTGTGCTTACCTTTGTAGAATGCCGTTTTCTTGTGGTATTACACCATTTATAGCTGCCTGAAAAGGGAAAACAAATTTTGAGTCAAGCATACAGAGCAACAAAAATAAATCAGAACTTCCGTAATATGTTTTAAAAAGTGATTAGCTTGCTTTAGAATATGCCATAAAATGTTCTCCATTCAGTGAATATTCCTGGTAAACAATATTGTCATTAAACTACCTGCACAAAATAAAAACCATATCTAAGTGAAAACAAACATGAACTGAAGCTCAAACTCCTATATGCGTGTGATGGATTTCCCAGGTGGAATGCATGGGAATAAACTGCATGCTCAGTAAATCTAACACTTTGTACACTTGGTGCATACATACAGTGAACATACTGCTTTCAAATACATCGAGCTAACTGTGCACAGACAAGGCAACCAACAGCATGTACACAGAAAACGCTTCCCAGAAGTATCAGACCTGCACAAACCTGTAAACCTGCACAGCTGCGCACACACTGCATGTTGCAAGCCTGATGTCTTCACGAATTGCTGAAGTCAGCGCAAACGGTACTCAACAGTGCACATGTCTCGATCACACCTATGCCTTCCAGACAACCTGCTTCTAGCTCACACACACAAATACCATCTAGCCTCTTACGAGTCCTCATGTGCCAGGGAATCCAGAAATTACTACCCCCAAAAATTCAAACAATCTTCAGGTAGAAAAGGAAGTATTTTTAAAGTAAGGTTTATGCAGTTAAATATCACCCCATGCTGTCCAGATCACCAGAACAAACAAAGTATTACTTATAGGCATATAAGTACAAACCTGGCAAGCTGCATTCAGATTTGGTCTTATTTGAAATTACAGAGTTATTACCTATAAAAATATCCTGATGAATTCTATCTCATATTAAAATGCATTATTTTTAAAATAGCCACAACATACTGTGTGCTATGTTGCACGTTCAAAACGCCACTTCTGACAAAATTGTCTTCTCAGCCTGTTACAGCATTGCTCCATTCTATGTTGCAGAAAGTTTTTAATGCGTTTCTAGCACATCTGATGCTATAGAAGTTTGTATAACTCTGAAATTATGTGTAAGTAGGATGAGGGAAAAACTTGGAAAGCAAATAAGACTCTCTTCAACAGTATTTAGAAGACTTACTTCAGACTGCTTTATACTACCAAAAAAGTGTTTTAAAATCATCTCCTTGCTAGGATTTTTCAGATTTGAGGGGCAGTGAAAGTGATACCACGTGAGCTGGTGAAGATGACTTACACATTTTACTCCTCAGCTGATTAAACCTTGTTCTGATTATTGTCAGAAGATCAGGGAGTAGAGATGTCAGAACCCTACCTAACTTCAGACTTTTAATCCTAGCCCAGCAGTGGGCTGGTAAGGTGGAATAGCACGGGAGGGAATTTGACAAGGAATGAGAAAGAATTCAAAAAAATCTAGAGAGGAAAAAAACCAGACCTCAAGAGACTAATTCTATTTCTGCTCTTTGATGATCTTTATAATCACTAATGTGTTCACAGGTACGTATTTGTTAGGCTTAATGGTGAAATTAAAGAGAGCTTGTAGCATCCCACTAATCTCCATTTTCTGCTGTACCAGCAACAATTCATGCATTTCTACTATCACAACTTCTAATATCCATTCTCATATGTCAGATATACCTGATCTATTGGCCAGAATACCTGGTAAATGAGTGTCTGGTCCCTGATGAAGAAGACAACGCTGACATTTACAAGCTCATAGATTCCCTCTCAAATACTGCAACTGAACTATGGACGGTCATCATCTACCAACATAATTTTTACAAATTTACATAAAAAATGCACCTTAAGTGCTTAATAAACACAAATCTTAATATCGTCTCATTTTAAATGCTATGCTTTCTTTTTCTAGGAATATATAAGCATGAATTTTTACAATTTCCATTAATAGTTAAAGCTACATAAAGTCAAAAAGTATTTCTGCTGAACTCAGCTAAGTAACTATGATATTGCAGTAAGATTTAGCATGTATTTAGAGACAAATATTGCATAAATAACAGCAAAAAAAAAAGCAGACAAGGAAAAGGGTCACAGGTATCTGTAAGCTACAGCAACTACCCATAAGGCTGTATCAAATGACAATGATGATAAAGCTTCCTACCAGATCAGTTTTTAAATCAGTTTATTCACCGTGCATGGCAATAATCAGTGGTTTCTTTTTAACAATGTGTCTCGTTTATCATCATTGTGGTTTTTGCAGTCATACATAGCTCTTGATTACGTTCATCTAATAAACCTCCAGGAAAAAGTGGTAGGTTTTGGTTTGTTTGGGTTTTTCTGGATTGGTTCCCCCCCCGTACTCTTCAGCAACATACATTTCATTCCTGTCAATCAACAGGTAAAGTTCGTTGAAAGACAAAAATACTCTTTATTTTGCATCTGGAGGACACAGAGAGCAAATACAGGTTTTTGTACCACAGGACCAACACTAATAATGATCTGCTGGGGCAACAGAATTCTCTTTACTCTTGACAAAAAGAAGCTGCTTCAGCTACGAAGAAATACAGCACAGCGTGGCATTTCCACACTTTTTCTGTCAAAGCTCATGTCTCAGTCTCAGAGGATTAAATCAGCTCAAACTTTTTCTAAGCCTAGTTAGAGGGGTTAAATACGATAGAAGCTCCAAGCTATTTTCTTTAAAACTGAATAACTCACTTGTTCCTGTCCCCAGTTTTTTAAACTTGATGACATTTAAGGGGCACAGCAGTAAGAAAAAACAGCAGCAGCAGCATTATGTACTTTTTTGATGGAAAGACCTCTATTAACCACACTGTAAAAATAAAGAGTCTGGACACTGTTTGTTAAGCAAGATGGAAGACTAAAATTATGTAGAAGGCAAATGGTAGCAGCACACATGTAGATATTGCATAAATATTAAATACCCATGTTCTTACAAGACATCTATAAGTAGACCCTGGAAAGAAAATAAGAAAAAGGAACAACCATCTGCTTTAGAATGTCATAGGAGGAAGGTGTGACTACTTTAAAAAAAAAAAAAAAAACACCACAACGAACAAGTTAAGGCAAGATCTGTTCCAGGCTGTTCTTCCCCAATGTCAGTCCCCTTTGAGAGAGGATCAGGTCTCTATTAAGCAAACATTCAAAGATACTAAATTCTTTTGTCTTTCCAAATAGGGATCATTTGATCATCAAAAACAGCCTGTGTGACTAATATACAGTAATTAAGAAGATGTATTACCCTTGAAACAATTTTAATAACAGGTGCAGTACATCTATTCATGGGTTATTAAATATAAAGATACCATGTCTGGCTCAGAAAATTTCTTCAGCTCCCAGTAACCTGTTGTTGAGAGTGCTACCAGGGAAGTAGCACTCCATACTTAACGCTGTTCCCACACTGTGTATATCCACAAGTGTCACTGCTGGATACTGGGTACCACAACTTCAATGGGTAGTTTACCTATTCTAATGCTATCACTATTTAAAGAGTGAAGCTCACCTTAAGTAGAAAACTACAGGGGTTTTATAAGATTTTTTTCTTCCCCAAAGCCAAGAATCTTAGGTTTGTCTCAGTGCTACCTATATACAAACTCTATCGTAACACTGCTCAAACTTGGAACAGAGGCATAGAAGCAAGGACATAATTATTGTTTCGATGACAATATTCAAACAACTACCAGGCCCACAACTTATTTTAGGAAATTATAAGCCAAATTTAGTTATTCTTGATTTACACATTTTATTTAGAGATATCACTCATATATCCAGGAATTGAAACAGTTTATTAAAGAATTTATTAAGCCCTGCATGACTTGATCTAATCGGAACAGCTTTTGACTAGACCGACATCCAGAAGCAACTTCCAATTTCAAGCACTCTATGACTCCATCATCCAACAGTATAGGATATATTGATAAATATTACTGAGAATTCTGTTCATGTAAATAAATGGGAAGACAGGAATATGATATAATACTGGACTGATGAGTGCCAATCACAAAGGTTGGAAGTAACAATATTATTTTTGGTGTTTGTTTCAGCAGCAAGCTTCCAGTACCAAAATATATTAAATCCAACTTTTTTGTTGCTTCCCACAAACACAGAAAACAATAAAGCAATAAGGTTAATAAAAGGTTACCAAATTCATTAACGGTTTGGGCAACCCAGAAACTCTGCGATATTCTACAAACAGACTGAAATTATTTAAGTGCCTAAAGAACGTTGTGAAGCAGACTGTGAAATTTAAAGTTTTTCCTCAAGGGAATATTAGCTTAAATAGATTAGTCAGTTCTGACTAAATGTGACTATCTTTTATGAGTACAAAACAGTGTTAGAGAGAAAAATAAGATGAACCATTTCTTAATAACCTGATGAAGCAACAATGTTGATGACTTCTCTCAAAATACACAATTATAGTACTAACCATGTAAAAGCAATTAAGTACATCTTACAGTGACTCTCATCCCAGGGGAATGAGGGTCCTACGAATAATTATGAATGAACTGTGGTATTTTAGATAGCACAAAAACTAAACTCCCAAGTTTAAAATACTCAGTGGTTATCACTACGTTTGAAAACAGACTGGATTTGCCAATCATATTATTTAAAAGCAGAGATCTACGTATACTGATTGTCTATTCAAACAAGGAAGGGAATTCCTTCCTCTTCATGAACTACAGATAGGAGGTAGTTCTTAAATTTCCAGAATTTAAAAGTGATGTTTAGATTAATTATCTTAAGACTTAAAACCAGACCCAGACAAAAGCACAGTTAAAGGCTTTTGCAATGGGTGATGTGGGAGAAGATCCTCCGTGGCCACCTCTTGTTCCCTCTCCTTCCCAGTCTCCACACCACACAACGGTTTTGGCCAACAGATACAGACCCTGTCTTACATATAGATCCTTTAAAACTTTCCCCATTCAAACCTCTGCCCCAATGAAGAGCAAGAGCTTTTACAAAGCATGACATAAGATCAACTTTCCAAAACAGGGTATTAGAAAACACACCTCTAAGCAAAAGAAGAAAGCAAGTTCAAGCAGCAT